ATATTCTTCTGCAGGCGAAGGTGAAAGACTTTGTAAGAGCAGACATGTTGGCTGTTTCCTCCACCGTTTACCTACAGAGGTCTCACTCTGACTAGAATTCCACGAATGGAAGTTATTGAGGAGTCCAGGAAATTGTGTTTGAGAAAACATCTTATTAATATTTACGATCTTCGATAAGTTTATGTGAGGGCAGACTTATCCAAATTTAATAGTTCAAATATACAATATATATATATATATATATATATATATATATATATATGTATCCCCCCCGAGTCATTTTTTATTTGAAAGAAAAAACTGTTCCCCTCACGTTTAATGAAAAAGCCCAACTCCAAAAAATGTCTTCATATAAGATGCCCCCTTTCTTTTACATTAAAAATCACACGAATATTCACATACATGATCATACTATTTAATTTGTCAACCTGTCAAACAGGTCTAAAATCTAATGATATATACATGTATAAACTGCTTCTTCTGTAAGATTATTAAATAAATATAGATTATTAAAGGGGGTTCATATAAACTGCATTCTATTTTCCAGTTTTAAAACTGCTCAACAAGCATTTTCTTTAGATTTTATCGTAGTAATATTTTATGATATAACTGCAAAACTATAATATATTGCAGCTTATACACTGCAAAAAACTATCTAGAAAGTAAAAACAATCTTAGTGCATTTACCCTTAATTTGAGTGGGTAAGTCAGATAATTTGCCAATTGAATGAGTATATATTATTCTTAAGATAACTAGATAGCATGCACTTGAAATAAGACAACGCAATCGTTTTATCTTATTTTAAACCTCAATTCAAGAAAAGAATCCTTTAGATTTCAACTTTTTGCAGTGTACTTCATTTTATTAAGTACAAATTGAATTCTACAGATCTGACAATAATTCTGAATGCCAAAGGTTACTAATACAGCCATCACATCTTTTCTTGAAAAAAAAAAATAAAATCCCCCTGAATTTTAACTATTTACTTTGAAAATATGCATCTTGAACCTTCCCTTCCTTTCAATCATTTTAAAATGTTTGGCTTCTTTTGTTCAGGTTTCTTGCAGTCCTTAGCAGCATTTTCTATCTTTTTTTTAACTATCATATAAGACTAGTGATGGTATGGAACCATTCAATGTTGTAATATTATTGGTAGTCTATAAAAAAAATATTTGCTACTTATGATCACCAAATGTAAGTTTAATTGTGGTTTAACACTTTCTGAAAAATAATGTGACTTTCTGTAAAACTTTATTTTAAATGAGCAGGATCTGCAAGGTAAAGAAAAGGCAACAGACAAGATGTAAATTGCTTTAATAAAACTCAATGAACTGCAGTGTAACAAAGGAAGAGAATCAAACAAAGCAAGAAGATAACATTTACAACCACAAAAGAAAAAAAAATAACCTGTACAACTAAACGGCTGGAGTCAATTCTATTTTCTACCTATTTTCTGTTAACCATTTCATTGACAGTGGGAGGTAACCTTGGGGTTTGGAAGTAAGAGGGGTAGATGAGACTTATGTGATTTCTTTTTTTTTTTTTTATTTCCAAATAAAATGAGAACATTCGCAGACTTGGATGCAACTTTCAACCAACGTGGCAGTTGATGTTCAATGCACCTCTGCGGAGCACAGCTTGAGGAGGACGTTTTCACATGTGGTCCAGGAGTGTTATTTGTACAGGATGTCGTAATGGCCGGGTCTGTACAGCAGGAAGATGCGGGGGTCACCTCCCTCAGGGAAGACGTGGTGATTGACAGTTCCTCCTTCACCTCTGTCCATGTACTCCACCAGAATGGACACGTTCAGGGCCTTGGCTAAGGCAATGATGTGGATGTGGTCACTTTCTTTAGACATGGGCTCTACTTCCTAAAAAAGGAGGGAAGGACATTTGTAATGAACCTGATATGATCAAACATTTCATTAACAACTACATACTAAAGCATCTCTATCCTTGCTCCATGTCCCAACGGCACATTTTTCCCTGAGAAACAACTTTTAAGTTGTTTTTGGTTGGAGCTAGTTGTCCTAATGGGAATTTTTTAATCGTCTCCGGCTATTGATCAGCTGAGTAATTAGTACAAATTCAGTGTTTCTGCACTTATCAAATGCTTCAAAACTAGAAACCATTATTTGTTTAAAGATACATCCACTAGAATTATAGACCGATAAAGCTGATTCATTGGTGCGTTCGGTATCCATGCCTTGAGATCATGAGGAACGCATGCAGTTGCTGCTTCCTTCATCAAATATCCACTGTTAAATGTTTTGTTTGATTCGTTAATAGACTTTTTGTTTTGTTTAAAATGAAAACCTGCAGAATCTATTATCATTGTGTCATTCTGATCATGTAAATGGAAAAGATAGAGCAATATTGGCTCCAAGCCAAAAATCTGCAGCAAATGTTGGGGATCCGTTAGTGATGTTAGCATTAGTCATAACTCTTTAGCTCCCACCTTTTTAAAGCTTGTGCACAACCAAATTGTAGACCCACATGCCATTGGCCAGTAAAATATTCATATCAAACCCACATGCTTGTGATGCATCTCGTTTGAAAGCTAAGGTCTTCTATTTCATGTGTTCTGCGATTTAATTTAATGGAAAATACAACTGGATATTACTTTTCTGTTGGAGCCAAATGATTGATTTATGATGGAATATTTATTTCTAGTTTACGATTTTTGTCTGGTTTTGGTATGATATATATCAACATGAAATATTTTGGTTTGAAGTATGAGTTGACTGACTTGATGAAATTATAAATTTGATTATTTGTGTTTCGCTGCGTGCATAATTTACGCAGTTTCTCGCCTCCGCCCCTTCATTATGGACAGGTGACTGCAGCACCTGGATTATATTGGTGTTGGCTGTTGGGGCCGGGTGAGCTCTTGGATTCAGTCAGCGCAGCCATACAGTTTTTGACCGCTTTTGATTATTGTTGTTTTTTTGAGAGGCAAAAAAGGAACGAAATGAGCCGATATGATCTGCCTGTCATGTCATATTGCGGTAAGAAAATCTAAGTTTGTTTTTATTTTTGAAAATAAAAGAAAGTTTGTTGGATTGCATGGTCACATTAAAAAACATCTGACAGAGCTGAAGTGAGTCTAACTTGGATGCTTCTGAACCAAAAACACTTGTATCTTTATTGGAAAGATTGCGCTATCACTTACAAAATGAGCCAATTTATGCCAGGACAGAATGTGTTTTGGGATGCCAGAAAACAAAAAAAAAAAGGTAAGAGGTGAAAAAAAATGAAATCTAATTTGATGACAGAGTATAAGTTATAACGCTATGTTCACACAAGATGCAATTTCAGCAGCAAACAAGCGCCTGCTGCTTAATTTGTTAGTAATGGGTCAAGCGACACCGATGCGCCGGCACATGTGTCGTGCTCCAACACAAAACCCTGTGTCAGTGCGCCTATCATCTCAAGAAAAAGTGACATGACCGATACAGGAGCTGTTTCAGACTGACTGATGCACTAAGCTGTGTTTATATGCGCATCTGTCAACACAACGATGCTGCCAAAAAATTTAAAATAAAAAATCTGATCTTATTAATCAAGAATAATGGATCTAGGGAAAAAGGTTTTAACCAAGCGGGTCCATTCTGATCTCGTATCTGATTTCATGTTCTTGTTGTGTCGTTCTATTCCTCTCAGTTATCACTCAACTCATCTGAATTCAAATTGACTAAGTTTGCCGTTCTTTGTGTAGTTATATCAATTAATCCTTGTCCTACATGCTCACTTAAATTTTCCTGTTATCTGTTCAAATTTATGGATTGTCTAAAAATCTATCTGAGAATATCAAACATGTTCGTAATTTAAACCAAAATATGAAATAATGCATCAAAGCAAACAATGGTTTTAAATATGATTTAATATCATAAATTATCAAATCAATGTCAGTTCAGTCTGTCAGAGTCTGCCTGTAGGGTTTTTAAATGTCCAGCAGGTGTCAGTATTCAGTGACAGTATTGAAACAATATCAATACAGTTTGCCAATGTGTCTCATGAACCCATCACTATTATATTTTATGCTTGTAGACATCAAGGTCAGATACGCGTCCAGTAAAGTGTGCTCAGATGCTTCTGCTGCTCCTATGTTCAATTGCAAGGAGTGTATTTGATTTATTTGCTGTGATAAGCTGGTAAAAAGTAGTTTAAAAATGTTTTTAAGTGGAAAGTACATCTTAAAACATGGCCTGTGCAGTAAGTTCATCAAGATTACTGTCGGATTGCCGTCGGATCTGCACAGACCCCACAAACTGGCGATGCCCCATCACTGGGAATCCACAGCAGTAGCCGTCTCAAGCAGGGTCGCCTCTTGCTGTTTTTTTCTCGCAGTTGAAAGTAGATGTTGGTGTTTTTCAGGTATTTGGTACAAACTGCCAGCTCTCAGATCAGATGGTTCAATTGACATGTCGAGCAGCAAAAGTAAGTTTTCCAACTCCAGCATCTGCTGCTTGTGAAGCGGCAGATGCTCAGAAACCCATAAGGCTTCTGCTGTTCAGGTGCATCAAAATGCAATGCCCCTGCTTTAGACGTGCTGCAGGACCTTCTGATGCATATTAAAGGGGAATGCCGTTTTTTTTTGTTTTTTTTGTTTTTTTTACATTTGGCCCTTGATTTTACGTTATTACATCATGTTCTACTCACCCATATGAGTTTTGTGTCAGTTGGAGCCGTTCTGAAGATATTCCGTTATATCCAGGTAACGTCTTCCTATGGGCAAGGAGTTGAAGGCACAAACTGAACTGTTCATAATGTATTTTTTATGGTACGCCAGCATTCATAACGTAGGTGAATCACTGTCCCACAGACATCTGCGGTTATATTTTTTATATTTATATATTTTAAAAACAAAGAGGCACGTGTATGACGTCATCCGCGCACCAGACTGGAGTTGTGACAGGCAGCCCGGGCCACAGGCGGCTACGCTCTACCCCTTCTATTCATTCTAGCTAATCTGAATCGTTCAATTCCATTTGGAGAGCGAGATCATCTGTGGTAGTAGCACTAGACATCTTCCAGGCATGTGAGTAAAACTAGCAGCAGTTCAGTGGACAGGATGAGTGAACGGTAGCTGGCGCACGTGGATGACGTCATACACACGCTGCTTCGTTTTTAAAAGATAAAAATATAAAAAATATAACTGCGGATGTCAGGGGAACAGTGATTCGCATACGTAATGAATGCAGTTGTAAAAAAACGGCAAGAGACGACCCTGCTTGAGACGGCTACTGCTGTGGATTCCCAGTGATGG